TGGTACTGGAGATTGAATCCAGGGTCTTCTTACTGAGCTACTTCTCCAGCACCTTTTTTTTTTAGTTTGGTTTTTATTTTGAGGCAATCACTGATTACCCAGGCTGGGCTTGAGCTTGCCATTCTCCTGCCTCAGCCTCACAGAGTGCTGGGATTACACACTCCACCACTCATAGCTCCCAGATATTCTGCCCCCACCCCGCTTTTTCTTCTTGGTACTAGGGATCGAACTCAAGACCTTGCGCTTGTGAGGCAGGCGTGGTGCCACTGAGCTAAATCCCCAGCCCAACTCCCAGATATTCTTGTGGAAGGCAGAGTTATCATTACCTTTGTGAACCAAAGAGCACTCTAGACCCACTCTATTGAGGTAGGGACTGAACCTGAAGAATTCTTACTACAGTTCAGGCCAGTGGGGAACGCTACATACAACAGAAACAAAGGCAGGAGGATTGTCTTGAGTTCCAGGCCAGCCTGGGCTACATAGTTCAAAGACAGCTTGGACTGCATAGTGAGACCATCTCAAAAAAACAAAACCAACCCCTTATTTTAAGAGCAGGGCCATCATGGGCTAGAAGCAGAGCTCAGAGGTAGAATGCTTGGACAAGGCTCTGGGTTTGATCCCCAGCAATGGAGGGGGAAAAAAGGCAAGTTGTCCCTTGCAAAAGACACCTAAGGGCCAAGCACAGTAGACACCCCTATAATTCCAGCACTCTGGGAACCTGAGGCAGTGCCCAGGTAATTTAGCAACTTTGTGAAACCCTGTCTCTTAAAAAACTTTAAAAGGCTGGAGAATGTAGCTCCATCCAAAGGATTTCAGTTCAATCCCTAGTACTGCAGTGAAGGAAGGGAAGAAGAAAGGGAGGAAGGGAGGAGGCAAAGAGAAAGAGGCAAGCAAGGTGGGGTGGTGGCACTCGCCTGTAATCCCAGCACTCAGGAGGCTGAGGCAGGAGGATCGCTGCGAGTTCAAGGCCAGCCTGGGCTACATAGCAAGACCCTGTCTCAAAATATCAAAAACAAAAACAAGAAGGAAAAAAGAGAAGGAAGAGAAAGAGGGAAAGAAATTAGGGGAAGGAAGGGAAAGAGAAAGGAAGGAAGAAAAGAAAAGGAAGATCCACCGCCTGCCTTGCAAGTGCAAGATCTGGAGTTCGATCCCCAGTACCAAAAAAACAAAAGGAGGAAGGGAAGAGGAGAAAGGGACAGACCTACTTAGGGAGGCTGAGCCTGCTGAGTCTGCCCAGAGCTGGGTGGTGTGAGGGTCACCCTGAAGAGGCCTCTCAGCAAGGCAGATGAATAGCATCCCCTAGGTCCATGGTTTTTTCCTTTGCAGCTTCTTTAGGACTCTGGAAACTGCTCAAGTCCAGGCGAGAAGGGTCTTTTGGCTTGAAGATCTTGGCAATCAGAAGTAGTACCTCTCTCTGTAGTCACTAATCACCCTCGAGACTGGCTCAACCTACCTGTGAGCTGCTTCCTTCGCTGATACATCCTCCTTCCCCAAGGCATTTGTTTAGTTGGCTAATTCCCCTCAGTAATTGGTTTTGCAGCTCTGTTAGTTGTTTCCTGTGTCTATTTTGTTATACGGAGGAAAAGGAGAACTCTGAGTGGGCCAAAGGGATTGCAGACACGACGCCCGCTCCTGAGGTGCACAAGTGGCGAGCCTTTCGCTTCTGCTCTCCTCCTCCATGTCACTCCTGGCCCGGGACACTGGGGACACTGGCTCAGGAGCACCACTGGAGCTACGGTGGAGGGCGAGGGTGGGCCAGGCCCCAGCACCCGTGAGCTACTGGGGAGACGGTGGTCATCTCTGTGGAGGTGCTAGAGAACTTGGGGGACACTGAGGGAGAGGAAATAGGGCAAAGATGAGCTCAGCACCCCCCAGAGAATGGAGCCTTTGTATGGGGTACAGATGTGGGACAAGGGGTAATTGTGTGGGAGGACCGGAAGTGCCCCACAGACTGGCACTGCCACAGTCAGTACCAAATCCATCCCTCTCCTGCCCCAAAACTCCCTCTGCCCAAGGGGCTAAGACCTCGTGTGATGGGGAAGAGCAAAGTGTACCTGAGGCTACAAAGGACTGGCTGATGACAGTGAGTGCCCACCCTCGCTGCTGTCCCAGACCCAAGGAACAAGAGGCAGGAGAAAAAAGACAGAAGCAGCTTTTACTATATTTACATCCAATAGAACTTCACAGGGAACAATCCTTATTGCACTGGTCTGGGCCCTGGTGGGTGAGGCAGTCCCCAAGAGTGGACAGGCAGGACCAGAAGAGGCAGCAGTTCTCCCTGAGGAGCTCATAACCCCTCCAGCTCCTGCTGCCCAGCTTTCAAGGAGCTACAGGCAATGGTGCCCTACTTCCCTCTTTCTCACTCTGTAAAAACCTTAGACGCAAAGGGGCTGTGGGTCCAGAATAAATAATTTAAAATAAAATACAAACACTCAGGAGAAAGGCATGGAGAGCCTGGGCTCCTTCAGCAATGCAGGGATGACGGACCCTCACTGGAGAGGATGGGACCGACACCCCTTCCTCCCATCCAGGGAGAAGGCTCAGCAGCTCTGTATTTTTTCTAGTGGTTTTTTAAAACAAAACTTCTAAAATGAGCAGGACAGCACATGTCTGTGGGTGTCCTGGAGAGCAGTTCCTGGAGAAGGACAGGGAAGACGAACTGTACCAGCTCCCCCAACATCAGCATGAACAAACCGGGCAGGCTGGAGATGGAGAATTGTGACTTTTGGTAACACTGCGTCCTTCTTCCTGCTGCCCACGCTTAGAGCCCGTGGCTGAACAGCGCCCAGCCTGTTCCTCACTCTTCTGTGAAGGGGACAAGAAAACCAGCTCTCTCGAGAATCCTTCCTCACCTCCCCACCCAGGCTGGAGAGGGACGCTGAAGGGTCCCTAGCACTCCAGAGGTGCTCCAAAACATCTCCGGCAGTCAATGGCCTTGGGGGTGGGCATCTGTGCCCGCCGCTGCCTCAGCTCCTCCTTGCCCATGCTGCCGGCCAGCTTGTTAAAGGCAGACTTGTACTTCTTGTCGAAGGCCGCTAAGGAAGAGAGTGGAAGCCAGCGCACTAGGACCCTGCCTCACACTTGGTCCTGAGTCCCCACACTTGCCACCCCCCAGCTGCTTCCTCACCTATGTCCACGTGGTCCTTGCCCAGAGCGGCCAATGTCAGGAACAAGATCTCGCGGTAGATGCCCCTGCAGAGCCAGAGGGTGAGTGAGAGAAGAGTTCGCGGCCAGCAGAGTCAGGGAGCACCCAGAAGCAGCGTCATTACCTCTGCAGGTGCAGGCCAGAGGGAGGTGGCCCCAGAGCTTCCAGGAGGAGCCCCACAGCCTTGTGCACCTCGTTGAGTCCCACATGGCGCAGCACTGACTCCAACAGCGCCAAGCTGAGACACGTGGGCACTGGGCCTGGCCAGGCCACGCGCTGTGGGATCTGGCCTGTGAAGGAAGGGAGGTCACCAGGGTCCCTGACCCTCCAGGCGGGGCCCGGTCCTCCCATCCTCGGGCCAAACGCCGGACTCACTGTGGACCCTCCAGAGCACATACAGGGGTGGACAGCTGTTGGGGTCTGGACTCAGAATATCCCACAGCAGCCGCACCTGCACAGAGGCTGGGTCAGGCGCAAGCCAAGGAGAGGGGGCCTGCAGGGGCAGAGGGAAGACGGGCTCACAGAGTGGGGGCAGAGGACAAGATGCGGAGCGAGCCGTCCGAAGATGTACAGAGACACCACAGGACACAGCACAGCAAACGGGAAGAGGAGGAACGTGAGCGGGTAACGGCAAGGACTTGGTTTTGTCATCTGCCACACCTCCAGAGCCTGAAAACTGCCGTAACCTACAAGATGCTTAACAAATAACTGCTGGGATGAACAGACGACTGTTAGCACATCATTCTGTAGGCACCAGGACTTCACGTGGTGTCTGTGCTGCAGCCCTGGGAAGTCAGTGCTTCTGCCGCCTTACAGAGGACAAATCAAGGTTGTGTTGG